GGTGCCAAAAAGTTTCAGATTGCATAACAATTGATATTAACATCTACTTTACCACTTTACGTAATATGTCACAGTTCTTCTCACTTCGTCCGTCAAGATTTAATGTATAGATACAAAATTACGAAGTTTTTGGAGATATGTTTTATTAAAGAATCAGATAATTATCAGACATCAGGCAACACTGCAGACTTCTCCCACCCTTGTGCCAAGGTTAGACGAGTACGTACTCGCGTAGATTAGTTAGATAGTTAAATTAGTATATGCTGATACTTCTTTTGTAAGGGTTCATCAACGAGACGCGCTGAATGCTGCGATTACGGAAAAGTGTGAAGCAAGACGCAACATTTAATATATCACAAACAGGTATATTGCAAAAAAATAATGTTTTTGTTTATTGATGTATTAAGATATCGCAAAAGATATCAACCACTTAAGCTCATTTCTCACTCAAGCTCCAGTTACTGATACATTTGTTCATTTGTACATGCTCCCGTATCACTCTGATGGACTTATTTTATATGTCGTCTGTTCAACGGTCTTTTGGTAGCTTTGTTTGTAATTTTAAATTTACTGAAAAAGTCGTGTGCAGCAGGCATATAAATACACAGTAAACATTTTTGCATAAAGTAGGAGTGATTTCTGTGATATATCCAGAGTGATTGGAAAATGTCCAACACAACTTTGGGGGTGAATCCTTAGGTCATCTTAAGAAAAAACGTTTCTGTGAACATGTGTCCTAAAATTCTTCCTAAGGGAGCTACAGTCCCTTCAAGGAGGTGATGAAAAGTTAATTTCTAATTAATATCTCAAAAACGTTTTAAGATAAAGTAATGAAAGTATGTCCGTGTCTTAGCATTAGTATGTGTTACCATATTACATTATCCAAAATTATTTAAACCATAGGCATCCCGAACTGGTGGTTGGTCATTTTTATTTCATATTTCAAGAAAGGCTTGTCGTCGACTGATTATGTTCCATAATAAGTTGTTAATTTTTGGTTATTTATTATTATGTTTAAAATTTATGGTTCTAAAGTTGAAAAATAAGTAATAAGTATCATCATTATCATTCTAAGCAGCTAAGCAGATTAAAATTTTTGAACAGTTTTCTCGGAAACGGTTAATTATACAAAATGAATTAAGATGCATGTTTGAGCATTAAATCATATTCCAGAGTCGCATCTGTTAAATAGTCAAAGAGTTGAAAAATATTAAATAAAATTGGCCCAGTCCCCCCAGTTCACGACGCCTGCAGTTTAAATAATTTTATTTGAATGATGTTGTACGATAGAACGTTGGAAATAAAGTTTAACGGGAAAGCAGATTCAAACTGCAAGCACAGTCCTTTTAGTAAAGAGAGGAAATTTTTGGAAATATGTTTTTGCTTCATCAGGCTGGAAACATTATACAAGATAGAGCAATTAACACGTTCTATCTTGTATAATCTATTCAGGCTGATGAAGCAAAAACGTATTTCCAAAAATTTGCACTCTTTACTAAAAGGACTCTGCTTGCAATTTGAATCCGCTTTCCCGTTAAAAGTTTATTTTTAACCTTGTAACGTGTAGCCTCGTTACTTCCCAACAATGTTGTAGAACAGTGATAGCACGTATTAACGCTTCGGCACATACCAAATTTCATTGAGATATCTATATTAAAGCGTTTTTGAGATATTAATCAAAAACTTGGAAAATATTTCTAATATTTTTACCGCAAAATTTCATAAGAAAAATGAACTTGCAATTTATAAATACAAATTTATATTATGTATATTAAAAGTACTTACTTCATTAAAACTGGAAGAAACATGTTAAAATATTAAAATATACTTTAATAATAATTTTGTGTAGAAAGAAAATGTGATAATTTTTTTCCAGAAAATCCAAGATAAATTCCAAGTACCTTAAGTGGTTAAGATATCACAAGCAGGTACATTTTTTTATAATGTAATGCTTTTGCTCATTGCTTTTCGAAGATCATAACAAGAAACATTTGGATGCGGTAGCAGCACAAGAAGATTTGGCCGGGGCTTCAACAAAAAAATCAAATCTGCCCCACATGATTGATAGCCGATTTACGGAAAAGGATCTCAACGACATCTTTACTTCTGAATTTGAAAAACCCCAATTTGGGCTTTTGGGAAAAGCAAAGAAGAAATTGGCAACGTGCAAGGTGGAAAAGGAAGTGAATGGCGAGCTCAAACCATGTAGCTTCAAGACAAGTGAGGCAAGTGCCGTGAAAAGTTTCAACCTTTGTAAAACATTTACATAGGTTTCAACCTATGTAAAACATAACCATCCTGAAAACTATGTGGCTCTGGTTACAAAAAAGGACCAGGAAGATGAGGCAAAACAGAAAGCTGACGCGGCTAAACAATGTTCATCTGGCTCTTTCAAAACTCCTGGAGAAAAGATTTTTTGCGGCGCTTCATCTGAAAAGAAACCCAAAATTGCGCAAACAAAACTTGACTCATATTTGAAGTCCTCAAAGGTTACAGTCACCATGGATGCCAATACTTTCCATGAAGGGCTGATGGAAATGGTTTGCTTGAGTTCAACACTGATCACTACCTTCAGGCTAAAGAACAAAGAATTCCAAAAAATTGCTCGTGAAATGGGTCAGCAGCTTGGCGTTTCGATGGAGCACGATGTGGTTCGTCATTTAGTTGTCAGCACAGCTGAGTTTGGTCAGCTTGGTCTTCTTGGTCGCGAAGAGCTCAAGAAAGCTTTGGAGCAAAAATTGTGCAACCTGAAAATGGATGCAAACCCTGAAAACAGAAATTTCCTTGCAATCAATGCTCAGTACTACGAAGAAGGAAAAGATAAAGCAGTGGTAAAAACCTTGGACATAATCGACACTGAAGGGCATCACAATTCTTTGTACGTGAAAAGTCAAGTAAAAGCTGTTTTAGAAAAATTTGGGATCAGTGAAATGCAAGTGCTGAGCATCTGCGTTGACAATGCAGCAAACATGACGTGTGCCATCAAAAATTTCAGCAAGGACAATGAAATCATTTCTACCTCTGAGAACAGGGATGTGGACAGAACTGAAGCAATTTTACCTGATGAAGGAACTAAAGGAATGGATGAAATCGAACTCAACATGGATACTGCTGCGCAATGGGTTAATGACCCTAGCCTCATACTTCCAACATGGCTTCATGAGGACAACTCAAAAGTCCAACTGATGAGGTGTGATATTCACACGCTTCAGTTGGCAATCCAGACTGAACATGCGAAGAAATTCCTGGCAAAAATTCAACAAGTTGTTGTCAAACTACGAACCCCAAGTATTCGAAGTGTTCTGCTTGATCTACATGGGGTAACAATCATTGGATACTGTGACTCGCTGGGGTTCAACATTTGTGATGATTGATCAGCTTCTCGTTTTTCAATCTTACTGTGAACAAGTGGCTGCTGCTGGAACAAGAGAACTCAGGTTAAAAAAAGCTGAGTGGGCCAAAGTGAAGAACCTGTGAGACCTCTTGGCAAAGCCAAACCAAAACAATCGTGAATCTTCAAGCTGTTGATGTAATTCTGGGAGTTTTAATGAAGGAATGGCGAAAACTGTCAAAATTTTTGCAAGAAAATGGTGGACAAATTGCAGAAGGAATTCTATCCTCCATGCAGAAGCACGATGAGAAGCTTTTTGACAATATTCATTTCCTTGCTGGAGTTTATGTTGACCCACGGTATCGGATTCTTCTTACCTCAAGGAAAATACCAAAGGCAAAGGAAGGGCTCCTTGATATTGCTCGACAACTCAAAAAACAAAATCTATTGCAACATTTGAACTCAGCGAAAGAAGTTGAAGAAAATGAAACACAACAAAAGGAGTCATCAACAATTGAATCTGCGGTTTCGGAAAGTTCACATCCTTCAGAAATAGCAGGCTGTTCTCAAATTTCTGTCTCCACTCTGAACTTGTTCGAGCATCCATCCCTGAGACAACTTCAACCATCACAGGGAAATGGAGATAATTCATGCACCAATTCTTCAGAAGATGATGCCTTCAAAAAGGAATTGGATAGACAAGAAAGAAGCCAGCAAGTTTCTGTCATTCATAATTGTAATGAAGCATTATTCAAGAGAAACTTTCGGGAAGATTGTGAGGCGATGGAGTCTATTGGTAGGCTAAAAGTTAAGTCTGTTTTTGAAGCCATTCACAGCTACCCACACTGCATTCAGGCTGCCTGTAGAATTGCTTCGAGCATGCCAACAACTCAAGCTAGTATAGAGCGACTGTTTTTGGCTTTAAAGTTCATTTTAAATGATTTGCGGCAGGCTATGAAAGACGACTTGATTGCTGCAATAATTTTTTACAGAATGAATTATGAATGATTCTAGTTTGTATCATTGTTGATGACATTTAAATTGTTTTAAAAGTCTGGATAAAAATAATGTTTTTTTCAAAATTTCAGTTTGCACTTTTTTATTTAGTTAAAAATTAATTTGAGTTGGAACGGAGCTGGAGCAGTCACTACTGGTGCTGGAGCAGAGCAATTCAAAAATTTGATTGCTTCAAATTTGATGTGCTCCTGGCACATTGCAGCATTTGTTTTTTTAAGTCTTTACGCTCTCATCTTGGTACAGTAATTGTTTGGGGACAAGAATAATTCCACTGATATAACTTGCACATCAAACACAATTTCCTACAGCTCAAAAAGCCACAGTTCATGGCAAAACTCTTATATTATGAAATAAGCATAGAATTCTGTGGTTTGGGGATTGATTAATTGGATATGGAGCCTTTATCTGTGGGTCTCTGGCTGAATCTAGCTCAAGTTGGTAGTAACCAAAAAGCCACCACCATCTGATATCCGGCTTACTAAAAGTTGGTGGTCCCAGACCAGATTAGTGGCAACCATCCTCTCATTGTTTACCTCTGACAGACAATGTATAAAACTAAGTCTTGGTGCAAATATGCAATTTCTTTTTCAAAGTAAAAGACAATAAAAGTTTCTCCTTACTGGCAACATTGAATAGGATTAGGTTTACTTACTAAAGCCTCAAGTGATGGAAACTAACATCATCTTGTTCCAGCCAAGGTCCCTTATCAAACTTCAGATACTCAATATCTTCAACTACCTGAAAGAGAGGCATACGTTACAATTACAAGAGTTTATCAAAATATATATCCTCAGTCAAGAAAAATAAAAGTCAGTCAAGCAAACAATACATGCAATTAAACAACAAAGCCATCCCAATAGGTGATTTGCTATTACCTTCCAACAGTAATGCAAAACGTTAGTAACAATTACATGTTCAGAACACCCCACAGGCAGTGACCAGAGTCCTTGAGGAACTCTTGCTGAGTTCACTTACTGATGCTTTATATCCCCATGGAGTGATAGGTGGGGAATACTTAGGGTGCTGGTAGGGACTTTGTTTGTGCTACTCTCAAAACACTCCAAAGTGACTGGCTATGATGTTGACTAGATGCACACATAGTCCAGACTGCAGCTGTTATACAGAGGCATCCCTTAGGGGAGGATCTATTAATGGAGATTCTCTACATCCCAGTAAGAAGGAGAAGATGGAAGATTATAAAATACAGGTAGGATCTGATGAGAAACAGTCAAATGAAAAAGAGGCCCATTCAATTACATTATGTAATGGCAGACAGCTAAAAAGTGACAAGTTTTTAAAGTGCTTATATACCAAAGCCGGAAGTCTAAATAATAAGATGGGGAACAAGAGTGCCTCATATTAAATGAGATATTGATATCATAGGCATCACAGAAACTTGGCGGAATGAGAATAATCAATGGGATATATTTTGTACCCTGGTATTACTGTATCAGGAGGACAAAACAGGTCGTGCTGATGGGGGAGTGGCACTATATGTGGAAAAAAGTATAGAATCAAATGAAGTAAAAATCTTAGCTGAACCAAACTGTACCATAGAATCTCTATGGATAGTAATTCCATGCTCGAATAAGAAGAGCATAGCAGTAGGGATATATTACCGACCACCTGACCAGGATGGTGATAGTGATGGTGAAATGCTCAGGGAGATTAGAGAGGCTATAAAAATAAAGAACTCAGTAATAATGGGGGATTTCAACTATCCCCACACAGACTGGGTACATGTCCCCTCAGGATGGGATGCAGAGATAAAGTTTCTTGACACCTTAAATGGAGCAGCTAGTCCTCGAACCCACAAGAAGAAAGGCAATTCTTGATTTAGTGTTAAGTGGAGCACAGAATCTGGTCCAAGAAGTGAATATTGCTGGACCGCTTGGTAATAGTGACCATAATATAATCAAATGTAACATCCCTGTGGCAGGGAAAACACCACAGCAGCCCAACACTGTAGCACTTAATTTCAAAAACGGGGACTACACAAAAATGAGGAAGTTAGTTAAACAGAGGATGTTGTGAAGGACAAAACTATAATAGGATTCAAAAAAGAACTAGATACATTCATGGAGGATAGGTCCATCAATGGCTATTAGCCAGGATGGGCAGGGTGGCGTCCCTAGCCTATGTTTGCCAGAAGCTGGGAATGGGCGACCAGGGATGGATCACATAATGATTACCTGTTCTGTTTATTCCCTCTGGGGCACCTGACATTGGCCAGTGTCGGAAGACAGGATACTGGGCTAGATGGACCTTTAGTCTGACACAGTATGGCCATTCTTATATTCTTATGAGGTAGGGATTAACAGCTGGGGAAAATCTGGGAGGATGTAGTGAAGAGGGTAGTTCCTAACAGGTCTTCCAAGAAGACCCTTTAGATCAGTGGCTCTCAACTTTCTAGATTAATGTACCCCTTTCAGGAATCTGATGTGTCTTGTGTACCCCCAAGTTTCACCTCAATTAAAAACTACTTGCTTATAAAATCAGACATAAAAATACAAAAGTGTCACAGTACACTATTACTGAAAAATGGCTTGCTTTCTCATTTTTACCATATAATTATTAAATAAATCACTTGGAATATAAATATTGGACTTAAATTTCAGTGTGTAGTAATATAGAGCAGTATAAACAAGTCATTGTCTGTATGAAATTTTAGTTTGTACTGACTTTGCTAGTGCTTTTTATGTAGCCTGTTATAAAACAAGGCAAATATCTAGAAGAGCTGATGTACCCTCCTGGAAGACCTCTGTGTACCCCCAAGGGTACATGCACCCCTGACTGAGAACCACTGCTTTAGATGAAACAGTTAGTAATATATCTACAAGGCCAGAACCTGAGCAGGTGTAATTGTTATAGCTCCATTGACTTCAAGGGAGCGATAATCTACAGCAGCAGAGGTTCCAGCCCACTCTTATTTATCTATTTACTGACACTTACTTAGACAGACAGACAGACAGACATTTCTATTCTATGCTACATAGTATAGTAATCACTTCCCTATACCTCACAGAGCAACAAATGCTTCTTGGCAGAAAGGGGTGGCAAAGGTATCCATTGTTTACATTACAAAAGGCTCTATATTACCTAAATAATTCTGCTTTGTTCCTCATGTTAAGTAGGAACAAGAGTTGATTTACACAGGTATTACTAACCTTTTATCATCATTTTACTTTGAGCATTGCAGTGTACATTTCTCTTAAAATCATTTAGCTGATGTAAACTTATAAACAGATGGTTGATGTGCGATAGTCTCAAAATCTGACAGAATCTAAAGAAAACCCTGAATTCTCTATGCCCACTGTTGATCTGTTACTAGGTGCAACATTGGCAAGATAAGGAGCTAAATTAACTGTGCCAAACTCTACAATGTCTATGACTTATAAAGCATGTACCTTAGCATTATATAGGTTTCAGAGTAGCAGCCGTGTTAGTCTGTATTCGCAAAAAGAAAAGGAGTACTCCTTTTCTTTTAGCATTATATAATATCCTATATTTCACTGTCTTTGATTTCACTAAATATTTCTTGGGGAATGGTATGGCAAGTTAGTTTAAATGCCCCTTCCTTATTCTTAATTTTAGATTCCAAATACTCAAATTAGATACCATATGTTCCACTTGACAAATGAGAAAGCAATTATTTTTCATGCCGAGGTAACCCTTTAATCACTGCCATTTAATGGCTGGAGAAAGAGCCCGCGCATTAATTACTAAAAACATCATGAATCAGCATGTGTGAAATCAATCAGTATTCTAATCAGTTGCATTTATTCAAGTGACTGTAGGAAAGAGCATCTTTTCAGCAGCTTCTTATCCAGATCACATCATTGTATTACTGTGGGTGGGTGACAGTGTGCATGTATTTTTGTCTACAGAATCTATAGACTGCAAATGATTTTGTCCATCTTCCAACAGCTTTTAAGGAAAATTTCACTTTAATGGGAAACAATCTCAAAAGAGAAAATATAGTACAAGTTCCTTCTAAACAGAATTAATACCCATGTTTATGGTTCCCACTTGGCATCTAACTTGCAAAATTGTATGCTATTCTTGCAAATAATGACTGCAAATAATAAATTCCTACTCTACTCCAGAGCTGCTCAAACCCAAATTTGACATGGGTCATCAATACACTCCCTGGCCATGTACTGTGATGATGTAATATTGCTGGCCCGGAGGAATATCTGCTTGAGCAATAAGAGCTTTAGACTACTTTAAACCCCAATTTACAGGATTAAAATAAAATTGTCAGCAATGGGATTTGCTAACTGTTACCAGGAAGGAATAGAAGGGATGTAATTTTTTTCTCCTAAAGCCTCTCCACTTCCCTATTGAGCCTGTGACTATCCCCATCCATAGCCATACAACCTGGGATCATCTTTTGATTCCTCCCACCCTTTCCCACACATGCAGGTCCTGCCAAATCTTGCGGTATCTTCCTCTGCAAAATATTGAAAATCCAACTGTTCCTTTCATCAACACCCTGCTTATTTATTTCCTCTTGTTTCTTGAAGCCTCCTCCTCCCTTGCATATCTGACACCCATAACATCTCTCCTTAGTGCACCCAAAATGAAGTACTGAACATGTTATTCCTTGCCTGTTGATCTGACTGCATTACAAGACTTCCTGAATCACTTCACTTGCACCACATTGTCCAACAACTCAGATTTAAGACCTTTTTCTTTTGCCTCTAAAGGTCATACACAAATCTGCTCCTGCATCTGACCTCCTTTCATATTCTCCAGCCCCACCTCCATCAATGACATCTACCTTGTCACCCTATTAATCTCAATGCTACCTTTTTTATACTGCTCGATGGATGCTCTCCCCATCGTGGCTCACTAAGGATTTGTCTACACTGGCAATTCGTCAGTAAAACTTTTGTCATTTGGGGGTGGCTTTTTAACACCCCGAACGACAAAAGTTTTGTCGACGAAAAGCAGCAGTGTGAACAGCACTTTGTCAGCAGGAGAGCTCTCTCCTGCCGACAAACACTAGCTACACTGTTCCAGAGGAACAGCCGTGTTAGTCTGTATTCGCAAAAAGAAAAGGAGTACTTGTGGCACCTTAGAGACTAACCAATTTATTTGAGCATGAGCTTTCGTGAGCCACAGCTCACTTCATCAGATGTGAGAAGTGAGCTGTGGCTCACGAAAGCTCATGCTCAAATAAATTGGTTAGGCTCTAAGGTGCCACAAGTACTCCTTTTCTTTTAGCTACACTGTGTGCCTTTTAGCAGCACAGCCGTGTCGCTAAAAGCCTCGTAGTGTAGCCATAGCTTAAATTATCTTCATCTCCTTAGTCAAGACTCTTCTAGACTCTTTTCTTTTGTGGCAGCTGCAGGAAGTGAGCTAACACCACCAGAACCATCTTAAGTTACAATCTCCTGTGTAAAAAGAAAAGGAATAGTTGTGGCACCTTAGAGATTAACAAATTTATTTGAGCATAAGCTTTCGTGAACTACAGCTCACTTCATTGGATGCATGCAGTGGAAAATACAGTGTGGAGATTTTATATACACAGAGAACATGAAACAATGGGTGTTTCCATACACATTGTAACGAGAGTGAACAGGTAAGATGAGCTATTACCAGAAGGAGAGAAAAAAAAAAACCTTTTGTAGTGATAATCAAGGTGGGCCATTTCCAGCAGCTGACAAGAACGTGTGAGGAACAGTAGGGGGGAGAAATAAACATGGGGAAATAGTTTTACTTTGTGTAATGAC